ACATGCGACCAAGTCATGTAAATTAAAAATATTGGCCTATTGTCTTTCAAATTCTCTACACACATCATGATTTGGAGATTTTGTACACCTCAAAATACATTTATTTATCGAATTATTGTCAGTTGATATTTTAAAATTAACTATAACTGTGATTTTATAAAATAATACACATTATTATAATGCAGGATTCCAAAAAATAATCTTATTATGTTAAATAAAAAATCCATTGATTTATAAGGAAAAAAAATGATATAATCAATGACAAAATACAGATTTAAAATCAGATTTAAATTAATAATAATAATGAAATATTGATAATACATCTACTCGAAAATTTTATAATTATTTTTGAGAAAAATATCAGTTGAGTAAAACAAATTATTAGAGGAAGAAAAAAACAATCATAGTCTAAATTATTCAATAAAATTATTGCTCACATTACAATCATGATAGAAGTATGTATAGAGTCTTCTTTTATTTGAGAAAAACTGATATTATTATGGAGTTTCAAACAATTTTCATTTATTACAAATTTAAAGCTCTTCCCAATGTGATCAAAATTAAAACTATAACACTATTTATTAAATTATTTATTTTTTTAGAATCATATCAAATAGTATCATATAAAATGAGTAATATAAATTATATATATATATATATGAAAAATTTTATATGTGATAAAATAACATTTCTGTCAAAATTTGTAGATATCCTTGTTAAAATCATTATGAATAAATTGTACATTTTTTGCATGTTTGTATTGAAAAAAATTTCAAATTATTGTATTTGAAATTTTGTATCAGTCAATACATTATACATAATGTGGTTTAAAAGTTCTCAATTTTTTGTCTAAAGTAGTGTTAACAAATTTTTTTTGGCCACATTATTTTATGACTATTAAATATTTTGATATATTAAACATTAATTTATATATATATACATGATGATATACATAATGAATTTGATTACTAAAATAATTATAATAATTTTGAAATTTAAAACTTAAATATCATTTTTCTTATATAAAATATTATCTTTATTTACTTCAATGACTCCTAATTTCCATATATTTTTTGAAGAAAACGTATAATATGAAAATATTGCATGTTGTCAAATACATGAATATGTCCTTCTTGAACAAATAATTTCTCAAGAAAATTCAAATCAGATACTTAAAGTTTAAAATAATTAGTTTCATAATTGTAAAAAATGTTGTAATGATATTTACAGAAAAAATTATTTAATTTGCATTTTTAAAACAATTATTATAGCTAAAATAAATGAAAATTGACACTATCAATCATATCTGACAACAAATAACGTGAAAATTATGACATACATGCAACTTGATATTGTTAGATTTTAGAATCATAAGAAATGTACTTATATGCTCTTAATTTCTAGATGTTATGTATTAAGATCTTTATAATGTTTTGCAATAACATAAAATTGTTTTAAATGACAGGATGTAAAATGCAAATTATGACATCAACAAAATTTATTTATTTTGATAAAAATTAAGCACATAAGATCAAATAGTTTTTGCTAATACAGTAGTGAGTTTAAGCTTTACCCCAAAATATAGCACGGGTATTTCTGATGGGACTAACCAAACCGAATCCTTGAAAATTTCGCGTGCGGCTCTTGACGGCCCCGCAAATCGAGCCCAAGACCTTTAATCGATTCATTTATATAATAACAAATCAATTAGCTTAATCAACCATTCTTTATATAACTATATTTTTCTAAATTGATATTATCTATAAAAAATTTGAATTGAACGATAATTTGATAGACGTAAAATCGAAAGCCTGTATAATCACATCGCTAATTTTTATAAAATAAAACGTGTCATATATATATATATATATATAAACTAGAATAAAAAATATAATTAAAGATAAAAGTAGTTACTTATTCTGGTGCTTGTTATAAAATATTTGAAATCTAGCACGATGTATTCTTCAGGATTTAAAAAAAATAAATAATTTATGCATCATTTGGATTGTTTTTTAAAGAAAATAGTTCTTATTCAAATAATATTTTATGTCAATATGCTTTTTAATGTTAATAATCAATTGATTTGCTCCAAGATGTAGTTTTCTATTATTGTCACAATGAAGATTAACATCTTGATCAATATCGTTATCATTTATCTGATAACTTTATTCAATCAACAAACTAATTTTGCTAATTTTGTAGGTGATTGGGCTATACATTTATGCAAAATAAATGTATAGCTCATTTATAAATAATTTTTTTAACTCTTCATCAGTAATAACTCTTTATCTTATTATAAATTTGTGATCTAATCAATATCATTGTAGTGTAATAAAAATTTGAACTCATTTAATAAATTATAAAGAAAAACCTCATAGCTTGTAATACCCTTGTAGTAATTAAAAATATATTTGACAAATTTTTAATGCATCTAAACTTGACTTGACATGTATGTACCCGTAGCTGTTAACTTGGCCAAAGGATCATCTTGTATATTAGGCTGAAGTTGGCTCAATATTTAGCACTATCAAAATATTTAATTGAATAAAATAATTTCAAATGACTATTATTAGTCATTTTTCTGTATCCAGATTATCATAAAATTATTGCAGTTCAAGAAAAAAGATTCATCAAATGTTTTGTGATATTAACATTACCAGTCTACAAATTGTATCGCAATATAATTCATGTGTTTTTCTAATCCAAAAACATTAGTTCAACATATCATTTACCTTCTCCAAGAGAGTTTGATCTGGATCGTTTAAAAAAAATGTTTGTTGATTGCATAATTCATATGAAAACAACAAATGATACCAAAATATCTGTAATGATTTTTAAATTCATTAAAAATAGAAATTTCATCATTGATGTATGTAAATCTCTCAAATTGTGATCATTCAAAACTTCAATTTGATTTTTCCAATTTTTGAAAGTTAAAGAAATTTCAATTTTTTGTGTGAAAAAATAAATTCAAATAAATGTGTGAATAATTATGTATAAATAGTATGTAAATTATCTGCAAATATTTATTTTCGTAATAATTTAATTTGACCATATATTTAATCATATAACTCCTATGAGTTTCAAAACAATACTTTTCATATTATACTTGCTCATAACATAATGTTCATAAAGTTTTGTCTGCTTCATGTATATGATGATTTATTTATGATCAAGCAATATAAAATAAAATAAAATAAAATAAATTTAGAATGTGAAATGCATTTATATTATCATTTATTTCATCCACAAGTTTTTCAAAATCAATCATTATATCACAAAGATCATCATATATGATTTTAAGTCTTTGAAACATATTCTTTTGTTTCCAAATCAATGATATCAAAAAAGCATAAAATATGTTTGAATTTTTTCATAATAAAATTTTCGCTAAAAAACCTCAAACAAGATAGTATAATAATATTTTATTTTTTGAAATATTCAATTTGATTAGTATGTAAATATTAGATTATGATATTCACAATCAATTTCTGATTTTTTTTCTAATTAGTTTTTCACTACTACTATTGAAAAAAATAAACAATGATAGAATGCAAAAACCTTAGGGTATATATATCTAATCCAACGAACATACTAACTAGATCTAGCTAGTTACCCAAGTTAATCTTCAATTGGAGTTAATCTCAACATCTTGAACGAAACATTTTCATCCTCATCATTTATAACACATATATCATTCCTACAGAGAGATTTGCTTGATGGGACCACTGCGGAAAGTAATTTGCTTGATGGGATCCTTCAGGTTTCAATTTACCCGATGGGACCCCATGAACGATGCACCGTAACTCATGTTCTAATAACAACTAGAGAGAGTGCACCGAATCCACCGCACCCGCAGACAGAGTGGACTTCGCACTCCATCACACTCACTTGTTTTTATGTTGTCATTCTGAATCTGGCCACTCTCCAAGGAGACGAGCAAAGAAATGTTCATCCGGAGTTTATTTGTTTGCCACAAATGGGTGATCGCGAGACTTGAGCTCGGACCACGCAGGGTTACGGAAGGAGTGTGCAAGTGGGAGGTAACAGAGAAATCCGCAAAGATTGGCGGATTTCTTTTGCACTTCGAGCAAAATCGATCTTTGTCCCTGTGATAATCCACCAAAAATTATAATAAGGGATTGATCTCTGATTGTAATTCTCGCATTGTAACTAGTAGTAATCATAATTACAAGAACTATGTCCGACGGCACACTGTCGTTGGGGTCCCATCGGGTAAAACTAAACCTGAGGGGTGCCATCAAGCAAATTACTTTCCGTAGGGGTCCCATCAAGCAAATCTCTCCATTACTACATCATTGTGGCATATACACTTCCATGCGCCATCAAAATCATCTCTAATTGTATCATGCGCAAATATATGCCTACTCCAAATGAGCATATAGTAAAGTGAAAAACGTCCTGAATATAATGAATGAACCCTTACAAATAAGTAAAGAAATGTATTAAAAATGAATCCTAAGCAAATTCCACAAAAGAGAAGTAGACAAATTAAAGGAGCAAGAACACTCAGACTTAACTTTTACATACATTCCGTGGGTGGAAATCCGCTCAATTTTGTAGTACCCTGGAGGAGGCAAAGTTGTGCTGCACTACCCAACCAATGTATCTCAATTATGTACGTTTTCGATACAGCAAACCTTGTACCTTTTTCCTGTGTAAAGAAATATGAAACCCACACTTTGACACTTAAGATTCCATAAGGAGTACAGTACAGTGCATGCTAGTGTTGTCGCATAATGAAAGTGATCGGGAAATATCTGTCGTCGCCGGCCGGGAGGGCCCGGCGGGACTGCCATCCGGCGACAGAAGTTCGTACAGTACAAGACATTACAGTTCACCGCGTAATGGTGAGCAGCGTAAGAGAAGGGACGGAGAAGCAAGACGACGTCCCGGTTCCTACGACGGGAGAAGATCGGCCTTTAGGAGAATGGAGTCCCAGGAACAGGGACGGGGATCGAGGGCAGGGACTCCAATTCATCGACATGATTAGGTAGCGCAGTGCAGCGCAGGGAAGGGAAGGAAAGGCAAAGAAAGGCTATCGCGGTTCAAATTCACGTTTCCCCCGGAAATGTATCTTTGCCGTCTGGGGATTGGCACCGATCGCGGCCGCGTCGTGCATCAGCGCAGCAGCAGCACGAAGGAGCCTCGTGTGGCGACGCGGGAGGTTTTGGATGAGATCACAGGAAGAAGCTGGAGGACGGGCCCGCGGGTTTAGGACGAGGCTGGTCGGGTGCGATGGTGCAGAAATTGGTGGCGAGGTGGTCGAGGAGGCCGAGACTTTGAGGCAGGAGTGGGAGCGATCTGCGGTCGGCAGGTCGAGGTGGGCGAGTGGACTATGGATTTCAGTGCGTCTCCTTACCTCGTCGGGGATCGGTAAAGTGCATGGTGGACACAGGAACCAGGGTAGTGCAGGAGTGTAGGATCAGAGTTGATTTTCAGCGGTGGGGCGAGGAGACAGTCTTGAAGCGAAATGGCCGGGGGCCAGAGTTTACTGGCTGCTTGTGGAGGAGAAACTGTTAAGCTCTTCGATCCCGCTGTGGAGACCGGTGATCCCTGTGTGTTTCAGTACACACCATCGCCTGGGTATCAAGTCAATTGTGCAAAATGGAACCACACAAGTATGTCCTTGTACTCTCGTTCTGACGATTTTGCCCTCTTTTTCTGTTTTCCAGTTAAGTATCTATTGTGATGTGCCCTGTCTGGCTGCGCTAGAGTGAAGCTCATTCTACATTTGAATCACGAAATGTCTGCGGTTGGCTTGTTGTGGTATCATTAATGATCTGTGTTGGAGTAGTCGTGAGAGGTTCTCGACTTCAGTTCAGTTCCTTTGCACCCGTGTTCGTAATGAAATTTCTTTGGACGTAAGTACCAGCAATGAATCACAAATTGGAACATTCTGTCGGTAGCTTCTGTTACGTCAGTTTGATGAGTATGTTGCCAAGTTTCGTTTTGAATGTTGATATTTCCTACTTTTTTCTCAAGATTCAATCTTTCTACTTTGCCTTCTTCAGACTTGGTGGTTGCAAGTGCCGGCGAAGACCGGAAGATATCAATGTGGATGAAAAATGGGCAGATTGTGGGGGTAGTTCCGCAGCCAGGTGCCGAAGCTGACGATGCTATCGACGTAAGTCTCATTATCTCAACAATTGTACATAGTAGTGCTGTACCCAATATGCTTCCTTGGACACTTTACAATCAGTACTCTTGGAGATAAACATAGGATCATCGTAAGTCAGTCGTGAAGTTTCTTCGTGAACTTGATGTCTTGTCAAGAGAGGAGGAGGCGTTGACGTGTTCAGAAACCAGTGATTACTTGTACAATGAATGATTTTATGAACAACTTTTTGAAATGAGAACACTACACTATTGTGCTGTGTGCAGGAATCAATACTCGCAATATGCTTCAGTAGTAAAGGGTCTAGATACCTGGCTTCTGGAGGGACGGGGAAAATTGTCCGAGTCTGGGATATGCAACGGAGAAGATGCATCAAGTGGCTCAAAGGCCACACTGATTCAATCACTGGAATAATGTATAATTGTAGAGATGAACATCTGGCTTCTGTAAGCATCAGGGGAGATCTCATAATTCACAACCTTGCGTCTGGAACTCGGGCCGCGGAGCTGAAAGATCCTCACGAACAGGTGAGTGAGTTCCTTGTTTTGTTTAGGAGGCGCAAAGTGTGGGACTTTGCGAGCTATGTTCTTCTTTGTTGTGTTAGTGTGAAAGCTCTGCGTATAGGGCTAGATTTGTAATGGAGGAGGCAGGAGACAGGAGACGCACTCTTCTTCAGTTCAGCTACTTTTGCAGAAAAAAAAGGTGGCTTTGAACTTTCTATGAACCCTTCTTTGGCAGGGAGATGATGGACTGTCTGAATGCCCCTGCTGAGTTTCTTTGGAGCAGGTTCTGAGAGTGTTGGAGTATTCTCGGTTGAGCAGGCATCTTCTTGTGACAGCGGGAGATGATGGATCTGTGCACATATGGGATACAACTAGCCGCAGTCCCAAGGCAGGTCAATGGTCTTCAGACATCTGGTCAATAAATCATTTAGTTCAGCTAGGTAGCTAGCTAAGTGGTGTTGGATCGTTTCTATATTTCTCTAGAGTTGTATACATGTTTCAACCGTAAGTTTCTTCAAGAAGTATATCGTTGTTCATCGAAACCCATGCTTATTTTGTTTTATTAACCATGGCGATTAGAAGATGACCTGAATTTGAGGTTTTACTTGTGCTTATATGCATGTCTCTGGTTTAAAACAGATCTCATGGCTGAAGCAACATACTGCACCTACCACAGGCGTGTGCTTTTCTCCATGCAACGATAAGGTTGAGCCACCGATCATGTCGAGTCTTGATGGCATTTGCTGGGATTGGACTCTGCGGGCCACATATAATAATAAATTACGTTGACGAAAGCCTCACTAGATAATGCTTTTGGCCTTTTCAACAGTCAAACTGAGTAACCATTTTGCATATTGGGGTTCTTTAGGGCTTGATATTTACTTGTATCTGACTAAGAAGGTATTACCTATCTAATACGGAAAGGACCGCAGATGATGGTCAGTGTTGGTCTTGACAAAAAGCTATACACTTATGACCTGGGAATTCGGAAGCCTGTACACTGTGTTCCATTCGATGCACCCTTCTCGTCGGTGGCATTCAAGGATGACGGAACAACAGTGGCAGCGGGAACGAATAGTGGACGCGTTGTGTTTTATGACGTCCGAGGGAAGCCTCAACCTTTCACTGTACTCCGAGCTTACAGTTCGTCAGAGGTATGTTTCTTTGTACACGCACCAGAAGAGTCGGGGAAGTGTTTGTTCTCTGTCGAATAATTGGACGAAGTAGTGCAATTTTCCCTTCTTCCAGTGAATGTAGCAGCTTGGCTCCGCATAGGCGGCTTGTGGTTCAAGTGACTAGCATGTCCAGACGAAAGTCGACGTTGACTAGGATGTCGAGGTATAGCGTTTGATTCACAGCTCCGGGATGTGAAACAATGGGATATCAATCGATGTGTACAGTGTCGTTCTGACATTGTACTTCCGTCGATCATCATGATGAAACTGAATTTCTTCCATGTGGCCTTACTCATGCAGGCTATCGGAAGTTTGAACTGGCAGCGATCTAATCCGATAGTTGTCATTGAGGCAACATGCACAAAAGAAGCTGCTCTGCTTGGCAATGCTGGGACCGGAGAAGAGTCGGTAATAATGCCAGATCCTCTTCCTGCCTCTGGGCTCGGTACCCGTGGTCGTCCAGCAACGATATCTATGCCCGCGAAGTCTGCGTCAGGGCGTTTCACTTTTACAGGACAAGAGCCTGGTTCGGGCTCAAGCTCAAGCTCTACTAGTGCATCCGCCAGTGGGCCTATGACAAGGTCAGAGAGCTCGAGTTATTCAACCGCTCATTTATGGACCAATGGTTCCATGTCGCGATTACACACCCATACACCTCATCGATTCACTTACAATACTAAAGATGACATGGAAGTGTTCTCACCGTTGGTGGATGTACAACCCATCACACCGTCGCTTTCAAGCTTTTATGACGGGAACGATGACTACAAGGAGGGTGGTTCCTCGGATGGTCCTCGTAAAGTAGCATGGAGCCAGTCAGGGATTCGGAAGTTTCCTAGTATAGAAGAAAAAGAATTGTCTCGTCTAAGTTTCGACCGACGTTCTTCCTTAAATCAGGTACTTACATTGGATGCTTCTCGAGCAAAGCCAACGTCGGACCTGTTGCAATCTCTTCTTTACTGTTGGATATTCAGCTTCTTGAGACATTTGTTCGCTATATTCCTTGCACATCGACTGTCAGAAAGTCTTCGCTGACTTCACATGGAATCATGTCTTCCTTCCTCCTTCTTTATCTTATCCTGGATTGATTACATACATAAAATTCTCTTTAATACTTGAGTTCTTTAAGGTGCTTTTGGAAGTCAAATGCTAGTCATAAACTTTATCACAACATTACTTTGAATGTCGCAAGGTCGCTTACGTGACTTGTGTTGCGTATGCTATCGGGAGTGAACTTATTTCTCATCTTTTTTCTTAATGTTTGCAAATGTTCGTGCAGGACGACATTCAATCCAAAAGTGTGCCATCCTTGCTATCACCTTCATCATCAAGTACTCCTGTTGGAGTACCGAAGACATCAGATAGGTCCCCCTCTGTCACCCCACCGGAGCTTTGGGGTGGAGACGGGGGTGCCGGTGAGCGATTTCGGCAGCCGTCGATCTCAAGATTTGCCAGTGCCGCATCGCTTGCAACTTCTTTGAATCTTTCTTCTGGACTCATGACATCGTCTCGACTTGATACCTTCTATGGTACTCCTCCCCCCATAGAAGTATTGTCGCCAGAGGCGCAATATTCCCCGAACCTGCCTTCACAAAATTTTTTCTCGTCTGTAGATTCACTTCCGAGACTAACATCATCCTCAGATTCAATACTTCAACCCAGCATAAATGGCACATCAATTCCATCCCCTAATCCGGTTGGTTCTCAGGTGCCTGCCTCCCTAAGCATAGAGACCCCATTACTGGAAGCGACGTCTTCAGCATCACCGAGGAGAAGCATCATACATGGAACTTTGAACCCTCACATGAGTTTTACTAGAGGTAGTTTGTCTCCAAAACAGAAGAAGCCTATTGCAGAGAGGAGCGAAGAAAGGGTAGGTACACATACCTTAGATGGAAAACGTGAATATGAAAATGGCTTTAGCACGAGAATGGATGCCTCAACGCATTCGGGAGCCGCTTTGACAAATGTGAGTACTTACTGTCTCTGAAACTCTGAACTCCAATGCTGAAAGGACCAGCCACTTTCTTACTTGTTTATTATCTCAACAATAGAGTGCCAGGGAGTGCTTGTCTGCAAGGACTCGCTATCTCAAAAATTTTGTGTCTTTTTTCAGGCCGTTTCGCAGTCCACTACCCAACGTAATTTAGTACAACTAGATAGTCAACAGGGATCTACGTCCTTCGCTCTTCAGTTGGTGCAGAGAGGGCTCGAGGAGAGCTTGGGTTCTGTTCAAAGAGCTATACACGAGGATGTAATGAATCTCCACTTAGAACTGCTGCGACAATTCCACATTCAACAGGTACAATGTCCTCCCTTAGAATCATATGTCGGAGTCAAGTACTATGCATGCGGGAAGGCGGAAGCGGTGACTGGTTTCCGATTTTTCATTTGACTTTTAAATAAACCCTTCAAGATGGTTTTATGAGATATCGACGCAGTTTGTGTTTTTTAAAAGTGATTTGTTCAAGTCCGAACATTTACACGTTTCTGGCCATTCTGCAGACCCAGATGTCGGGAATGATGGAAGCATTCCTAGCGAAGCAGAACGTTCTTGTGGAGGAAATTGAAGCTTTACGCCGAGAAAATCAACAGTTGAGAGATATGTATTAGGTGTTTTGAACTATTTCATTCGTAACATCAGATTGCAGATGGGGTCTTTTGACTTCACCTTGATCTTAATGCCGGCGTGTCCCATTGTAATGCGGATCACACGAAGAATTTGTACCATAGGGTTGTAGAAATCAACACAAAATTTATTCAACTTGAGCTGGTGGATGGTGTGTGGTGAATCTTCTGCTTATCAGCTGGATTAGCACCCCAGGCATGCTTTCGCGAGGAAACAATCTAAAGTAGTATCCTTACTCATGTCTGTTTCGTTGAGTAGAGGTCCGGTGTCCGCAATGAGTGCTCCGTTCGTGTTTATGGAGCAAGGGTCACATTGTATCATGTTTCTATTCAAGAGCAGCGCGATTCTGCAGGCAACCACCTACTTTCCCGAGTTCGAATTGTCCGGTCACCTGCTAGAGTTGGGAACCGTGATCGTTTGTGAGGTTATTTCCTGGTTGACATCACCACCCTCTGTGTGTGCGGGAAGTTTGTCTCACGAGATCAAAGTAAATGAACTGGAACTTATGACTGTGTAGGACGAAGTTGGTGGCTGCGTTTGGCCTTGCGCCAAATGGAAATGATCATCTGCCGCACTGTTCATTGTCGTCAATGTTCTTGTCGACAGGGTGCATGCATCATGATGACTGCCCTCACCCCAAAGGTACAGGAAGTGTCGTTCGCACAAACATGCATCAGCTCACTTTTTTAGTCTTCCCTATGTACCCAAACCCCTCGCAACTGGTCAGTTCCAACATCGGGACTCTCTCAAATTTCCTGTCTCGTCACCTGACAGTAGTGGCCGAAGATGAGCTTGGATCCCCCAAAGTCATGCGGGCCCCAACGAAAGAAAGCCTGTGCTCGAACAGCTTTTAGCAATCCAGGCCCTCGGCCGGAGCTAGTGTGCTTCCCGATTTACGGCGGCGGTAGCAGCAGTGGTGTGGTGTGCATCAGGACATCAGTTAGGACATGGGTCGAGGACGTGCTTCAGTCACATGGAACTCCGCACATCGTATAACAATGGCCACTACTCACACTCACTCACCTAAGCCCGGAGAATAGGAATGATTAGTGTCGTCGAGCGCTGCATATCCCGTCGACCACGTGGTCAAGTGAAAGTCGACCACGCTCGCACCACTGTAACCCCTCTGCAGAATAAGCAGACTGAGCTTTTAAGCCATGCCACGGCCCGGGCCCCACGTTCTGAACTCATCAGATCGAATATTTCACACGGCACGCCAAATGGACGATGGTGGAGGGCCCCGAACTGTCCTCCGAGCGAAAACAAGAGCCTCGCTTGTGCCAGCGCTGTCAGAGGCGCAGACCGGAGGCGAGGGAGTGAGGTCGAGGAGCCAGGATCCCATCAGTTAGCCACTGCTCGCAGAGCACAGCATTGCAGATCTTGATTGATCCGAGGAGCCTGGCGACATTAATCTCGTCCAGGATCACCGAGAGAGCTGAGGCTGCTGTGCGAGCATGGGAACATACGGGGCATGCATTTCGGCTCGATTCGCGAATCGTAAATTTCGCTGCCCGTCCCAGATCAGGGTCCCGGAGGGAGGGAGCGAGGGAGCGAGGGAGCCTGTAAGAGAGAAAGTCAGTTGTGTCTGGCAGGGCAGGGCAGTCAATCTGGACGGATGGAGGACAGTGGTAGAGAGACCCAGTTGACGAAAGTGTCACGTTGGTTCGGACTCGGGGCGACAGGAAGAGATGGGTTGTCGGAATGAACGATGCTGACGTGACCCCCACTCCAGCACGTGTGAACCCCACGTGAACGTTGACGACAGCCCTCCGTCGTTGTCCGTCGGTTATTTATAATGGTCGCCCTTTTATCAGGTGTAGACTCCTCGGGACTTCACCGTCCAGAAAGGCCATGTTCTGAAATAATCGTCCCATCCAATAAACAATGCCCAAATCCGTCTTTTGACGTACCTCCCAAGACCGCACTCTATCTGTGTATCTATGCCACCCTACACTTCAGGAAATTGTGTCAATGTGCATCCCCCTTTATAAAAGCAGCCACATCAATGAAGAGTAGAACTCGTAGTAATAATGTGGAAAAATGTATAAAATCGTGAACCCTCCCATGCATGCAAGAGGGACAACTTTTTTGTCACGGCTGGAAACGTGGACAAGGTAATGCCAAGAATACTCATTCATTGCGGCAGAAAGGTCTTATCGGGAAAATATGGTAAATGTGCTCCATGAGCTAGGGCCTCTGCATCTTAACTGGTACCAATTCCAACGTTGTAGGTTATACTCAACATCTGTGCCCAATCCACAAGTAATCAAACAGCCTCTACGTTTTCATGATATTGACATGATGTTCTCGGAATGAGCAAAAGAGAATGTAGCGTGTGATATTTTCTGACTTTATATTCTGGATCAAATTTTCATTTATCAAGTTGTTTAATCTTTTTTTGAGTCCGAATATAGGATTTTCTATACATCGCTGAGTGAATTGACAGTCGAGTCTCATCTTGAATTTCTAGGCTTTTAATAAGAACCAAAAATCATTCTCATGGTTTTGAAATAATGTTAATTAAACCATGTTAATTGAAATAATATTATTAAATCAAGCATATGAGTTAGGTAACATTGTTCAAGCATTTAGAATGCACTTAGACTCTATATTTATGTATAAATATAAATTAGTCATATGTCTTTAAAAGCAAAATTTAATCTTGGTTGATATCATATATGTATGTATGAACCACTCAATGTATTAATAATATAAATGAATATTTTACGTTTTATCTTTGAAAAAAATTCAATCAATTTTTTATGGAAAAACCATGAAAAAATGATTTATTAGTATTTATAATTCTTACATTATCTAAAAAAAAATTAAAAGATGAAAGAAAAATTTCATAAAAATTTTACATTTTAAAGGATACGATATATGTGTATTTCTAACAAACTTGGAAAATAATAATTATTTATTAAAATTCTTGTCAAAAATCTGTGTATGGTCGTAAAGGTAATATGGAAATTAGTTTAGTATTTTTTTGAATCATGCATTCATTTTGTTTCATTTGATTTTCTCAAAAGTAACCTAAACAGCCTCACATCTATTAGGCTTATATCGGAAATAAATTTTGGATCATAGATAGTACATTACATGTATACGCGATTAAGGAATGGATGATGGTTTGCTTAGTTATCAAATAGAACATCACTAGACAATATTAGAGTTGGAAGATTTATTGTGTAGTATGTAAAAATAGATAATTAGAATTGTATTTCGTATATGGAGGTTCTGAAGAGCAGTCCGAGTACCATGTAGTTGTGAGCGGCATTGTGAAGACGTGCCAGAATTGTGAGCACTCTTTGGGAATTTTATTTATCAACTTCACAACTGATTTACGTGGAAGCTGAATACAATGTAATTAGAAAGGGGAAAGTGGAAATAAAAAAGGATGGTATACCGGAAGTTGATGTTAGATTTATGTTGTTCCTACATGATGCTTTTTTTAAACAAGCCGTTTACAAGCCCCAATAATTAAAGAGTTTGATACCACTAAATGAAAGAATATTGGGCAGAAATGTTTAGAAGAAGCTTTTGTGAGCATTATTTTGCCTGGAGCTGTACAGTTATAGACATTCTATGACCTCATTCACTGGAAGTAACCATGTCCAGAATCTCATCAACACACTATGGGCTGCCACGGGTGTGCCAGCCTGAGAGTGGGACACATAAGAATCCACTGCGAACATCAGTGCTACCAAGAGAGCATGGATTTTATTTTGAGAAAATGTGAAAGTTGAAGGTTCTGTGAAAGGTAAATACGAGGGTCCCCAAATGGCCAACAGTGGCTCATGCAGGGTCTTGTGGACAGAAGGGAAGCGGTCAGGCCTCCTCCTCAAGGTTCGTAGTGTATGCGGGCTCGAGCTTTCGGAGGGAACTGCGTGAACCAGAACCGCAACGTGGTTTCGGAGGGAACTGCGTGAGCAGTAGCCTCAACGTGGTCAGGGGCTGGCATGTCGCGGTAGAGATAAACTTGGTGGGAGAATCTGTGAGGAAGTTGGCACCAACAAACATCGATCGATACGACTTTCGATTGGGGAGTTTGATGCGGACCACAAAGAATGTGATACTGATATGGATCAGCCTTTCCGATGGTTCGCTTTGAATGCATCGTGGATACACGAGAGCTCAGTTTCGTCTCGTAGCATGGGTCAGAAGCAAGTACTTCTTTCGATCCATGCATGCCCTTCGAGCCTTCGTGGCCGTCCTCGAGAGGAAGGATGCAAAGCTCCTCATGCCATTGCAGATCGAATTCGGTACTTATTTAAATTTTGATTTCTCAAGTCGATTTCTTAGATGCGACACTGGTCACATTGAAACCCTCCGATGTGATTTTTGCCTGCTGAGATTCATGCAAAGTCAATGACCAACTTTGCAGATAGACTTCACCCATTTGCCCTGGCCAATGTACGTAATGCAGCTTCGTACCAACATGAACTCTCAGTCCCTCTCTCTCTGCGCGCTCGGACAAATGATTCGCGTACCACATCCCCGACCGATGGTGCGGCCGAGCTTGTGCTCCTCTCTGGTGGTGAAGTACTCTTCCACCACGGCAGGTGGCAATTCACCATCTTGTCCCCCCACCCTTCACATCCGTTCTAGTATCCAAGTTCTTCCATAGTTTCTATGAGGATTTCAAGATGTGCGCTTCGCTGTGAAGGGTTGCCGAGTTCAAGTATAATCAAGTGGTAAGTTCCTGAGCGCGTCACTCGAGACACTCGACAGGTTCATCCACATCTCCGCACAAAGACCAATCAGCAAGAAACTCCAAAGGCGAACTTCGTTGAACTTCCTAACTGCATAAACTTTGCAAACCTCAGAACAACAGAACTGGTGAGACGAGTTGTCCGGAGACAGGGAGGGTGTTATGAGCCTAGCTTCGTGGTCTGCGTAACACCGAAATGTGACAATCATGTGCCGCAGATGTCTGCCTCCAACCTCCTACTACCAGACTAGAGTGAGACTCGAGTGTCCAAAGTAGACCGGCGATTGCATCACCCCGATCTGTGACACATGCCTCCCAGCGCAGCAGCATGCAGCTCGTCAAAGTCGCTACCTCGAGTGCAATCGATGGTTGGGCAGGCTAGTGCAAATTCAGATCCATCCCTCCATCATCATCCCGCTATACGTAGAGTAGACAATGACAACAAGGTACCGCAGCTTTGATTGAGCTTTCGAGTAACCAGCATATGCGCGCAGGACTGCAAGTACTGGTCCGCGCGCTCGCTGTTCATGACCAAATGAGCAATTTCAGGCTTCCAGGCTGCCAATATTCACGAAGGGAGGGAGGGAACGAGACACTGATCGTGAATGTGTGGGAGAAGCGAACGCTCGACTGAACTGGCATCTGGGTTCCGACCGAGAGGAACCAAGGGAAAAAAAAACCATGGAGAATAATCAGAGTCTTGTTTAAAGAGCCATCAGCCTATGACATCGATCAAATCTTCATCGAAACAAGCACTCGGACTCGAACGCGTGTGAGAAAACCAATTCGATTTTGAACTCGCGAACCGCTCATTCTATCCTTCCACTTCGTTCGTGCATGAGAGGCTATGCATGGAAGATTAGGGACCTCCCATCGGGGCTTCTCCGATTTCCGAAGCTCATCCTTTCAAATGAAATATCACTCTAGCTGAGTTGAGTGGGGCTATGGGCGAATGAGTCGCGTCTAGCTAGCTTAGCTAGCCGCCCTGGCATTAAAAGATTATATCCCGGTCTGGATGACGACTAGGCTGTCCGGTACATGTTCGAGACGCGAGATGAGATCAGCAGGTATCTTGGTAGTAGCATGCCATTATCTCGATAGCAAATGAGTGAGTGGGGTGTTGGAGTGCGGGGCGGAGATCGGTGACGAGAGGAGGATGGATCATGTGCAACCACCCAGCCACAGCGCGAGAAAGAGAGAGAGCAGAAGCAGCACTGAAGAAAGTCGAACATGGCGATCGGCGATGCGCAGTCGCACATTGGACGACAGTGGCCGGGCTCTCATGTGCGTGCGTGGGTGGATGGAAGGAAGGAGGGACGGACGGAGGGATGGATGGGTGGATGGATGACGCCCGCAAACGGTTGCGGTGCTGTGAGGCTGCGGGAGGGGGAGACTGTGGCACATGAGATCGACGATCCCAGACGCGCGGAGGCGCGCCACGGCAGCGTACCGAGAGGCGACGCGTGTCGGACGCAGAATCGGAGGCGGACGATCGGACGGCACGGATGGATCACGTCGAGCGTCGCAGGGACAGATGGTCACTCGCTGCGCCTCGGGACAGACGGGGCGGGGCGGGGCGGTGTACGGGGCGCCGGTGGGAGGACGAGAAGAGAAGGAGGAGGGGGCCGTTCGGGCTGGGCCGGAACGTGGAGCAGACGCGGTCAAAAGTGGGCCCGTGGGGCGGCGACGTGGCACTGCGCTCGCGCTCACTGGACCAGCTCGACTTCTACCCGTAGCCCTCTCATCATTCCGGACCCTGTCTTGTCTGCGCTCTCCCTCCGCTCGCGATCTTATCCGACGACGTAGCTGAAGCTGCAGCCGAAGCCGAAGCCGAAGCCGAAGCTGGTAGGGCGGTAACTTTTGTGTCGGATAAAAAGCCGAGCTTTCCTTTGACGAATGTTTTCCTTTTCGTTGACGAGGTCCTCCTCCTCCTCCTCCACCTCCGCCCTCGAGCCAAAAACAAGGCCATGGCGGCAGCCGCAGCAGAAGGCGCAGCAGCCAGCAGCGAGCTACGAGGGCCCCTCTGTGGTGGCCTCCTCCGAGGCGAGCTTTGGATCCAAATGTTCAATTTGGGAGTGTGTGCCGCGGGGAAAAGAGGAGGAAGGCAGGGAGGACCTTCACGGAAGGAACGCGGTCCGATTGTCCGAGGGGCAAGGGTTGCGGGACAAACATTTGACTCGGGCTGTCTGATTGCGGACGACGACGGTCGTTTATTGTTGGCTGAAACTGGAAATAGGTCAAGAAAGAAAAAAAACAAGGCGCGGTGCAAGAATGGTTTGATTCTTGCCAAGCCAAGGAGAGGCTCACAAGCTTTAGGGCTATGATTGGCACGTACGGACATTCACTCCAATTGTCCAAGATTTGCAGAACCATTATTGTTTCCCATCACGGATCACCGTTGCCGGACAAGGCCCTTCGTGTTTTCACACAACATCAATCTTTTGCGTCTTCTTTCTTATTTATGTCCTAATCCCCCATTGAAGAATGTTCCGGTTTCAGAAACAAGACATCTTTTTTGCCGCTGATTTTCGGTCCCGTTTGAGTTGGGAACTCCCCTTTGTCCCCTTCGCAGTGCACCATTGACTTCCCCCTCGCATGAACTGGTCATCTGCAAATATGTGTCTCCTTCCTACCAGTTGAATATATCTTGGGCAAGAAGGTTAAATTAAATCCGAGGTTAGAAGGATAACCCTCAATGACCCTAATAAGTCTACTTGAACGGCAGCCATATGGCATGCAATGTCTCATGCATGCAAATCACAACCGAGTTCCGATCGCGAAAGAGGAAGACAGCAAGAATTAGGAAGCGCGAAATCGGAGCGCTCGAGACTCGATTGGATCCGTCGACTGTGTGAGAGTTTCGGAAAGTTCGCATCCTGTCTCATCCCGGGAGCATAGAGGAGAGCGCTGGTTGCTGAGAACCGTAGCTGAGGCTTCTAGAATCCATGGACGTGTCAAATCGATGTTCTTGTAGTCGGTGAGAAGCGGCGACTTGAACGAAGATGATCAGCAATAATCAGTTGTGGAGACTTTCAGCGAAAAATTGTACAAGCTTGTGTGGCATTAGCCAGAGGATTGTCGCTCAGAGTTCAGAAATATCGCGTTTAGCTTCTCGAGAAGCGAAAAAGTCGAGGTCATATTTTCAGTAGCCTGCGCGATCTTGCACGATCCGATTCTATTCTCCTTCCTCTGAGAATTTGTAGAGCAGAATTAGAGAAGCTATTGGATGAATGCATTGTCTGAGTCGGAGGATGAAAAGCGATGATGGAGGTCCCGCAGCGTGGACAGGCGATGGTTCGTTCATCTTTGAATGCGAGACTGTTGAGAATGTGCTCATCTTTGTATCAGTCTATCGGCCAACCTTTTCAGATTCAATGGCAATAATTATGAGCGTTCTCTCCGTTCGGCTCGTCCACGACGAGAATAATACACACAACTGTTGCAGCAGCTGCTGCACGAGACTGTTGCTCTAGCCACGAGGCAAAGGTTCGCACCGTCGTCAAGAGTCGATCCTTCTGGAGATCATCCACGTGCTTGGAGCCAGTTGAGATTCTTGACTAGACGAAGCTGGGCTTTTTATTATTGCAAAGGCCCCGGAGAATCTGATCTTCCTGAGAAACACTCGCTCGGTTTGTCTCTTGCACGAGAGGATAACCTTGCATCTACCATGTGAACATTCTTGGAGGCCACAACGAACGCTTCAGAAGCCAACATGCGAACCTCCTCGAGAGACCAAGAGGTGGTTTGTGAGCTGCGAAGGTGGTCGGTCATTTGTACTTGTGCGGATTCGAGCAGGAAAAGCAAGAACTACCTCGATCGCCAATGCAAGGCGCTCCCAGAAAATTTTCCCTCGGGGCTGCCTTTTTGGAATCAGGAAATCTTTTCGCCGCTGTTGGCACAGCTACACCGCGTCGCATGAGCAGGGAGGCGGCTTTATGGCCGACGATTGGAGGAAACGTGCAGGGACACACACACTGAGATGGTGGCCACGCCATCGGAACTTCTGCTGAAATTCTCATGCGTTACTACCCATTTCCTGCTGCAAAGTTCTATGCAGTCTCCAAGATGAAAACGATGATTTGAGAGGCGGGGAAGATGAAAACTCACAGACTTGCTGGAGCTCGAAAGTGTGGAGGTGTCAGTGCATACAGCTGTTCTTTTGAGGGCCATCAATAGTTGTTTGAATCGGTCACGGCGATTAATGGTGAGACATGTAAATCGAGAAGGGCAGCCGTCCGGGATAATTGGTACTGCTGCGAAGGAGGTGGTAAATCTCGCACCGCTTCTGGAGTAAAAGAGCTCCAAGTGTACTGTACTGCGAGAAAACGAAGGGGCCTGATGAAAATTAGGAGTGCAGAAATTGACAAGTGGAGTACGTCGGCAGAGAAGAAAGAGCCGCGGGCTTCGTTGCGGTCGAATACTGCTGCAAAGCTATTTAGATCTGATGGAGTGCTCCTGAGGCATTTGATGAAGCTTATGCCGAAGCTGTAGCACATGGGGACAAATTTTTTTCCCATCAGGCAGAAAGCCCTTTCCGCTAGAAAAAGTGTGCGGCAGAACAGGCCTGACCAGAATGAACTAAACAAATAAATTCCTGGAGAACATGGGCACCGGTGATGATTTCCAACTCATAGAGGAAAGATGAATGGAGAAGTATACATGCAGGCAGGACAGACCTTTAAAACGGTCGGGAGATATTCGATTGCAGATATGGATAGGTGCGAAGTGAATCCAAAAAGAGAAGACTAGTAGAGAAATAGGAAGGTGGAATGTTGAAAGGGACTTGACTTGTGTCGCAGTGTTACAACTGGACGAGGTTAGTATGGATGGCCACATCCAGTTCGAGTCATGCGCAACACTCTTTTTACCATCAATAGGCTCAACCCTTTTGTGCGATGTATCACACATTTCCTGACAGCTGTTCGTATTACGTCGTCAGTGGCAAATGGTTGCATAGCTGCTAAATCTCTGAAGCAAAATGGACGCGACCCTGACACGGCTTTCGGTCATGACGAGTCGTAGAAGTAAGTAGTGCAGCTAGTGCTCGTCAAAGAGCCACCCCCAAAGGCCCGTAGGGGTGCAAGGCCGACTCACCTTTGCAAGTCTCCATCCAACCAACCAACCAACCAACCAACCCCCCACCCTCTTCCCTCTCTCTCTCTCTCGAGCTCATCGTCTTCATTCTCGCACAGCCGACGCAGAGAGGAGGAGGAGGAGGAGGAGATGGGCGACGGAATACGGGAGCAAGGAGGGAGGCGAGGGCTCTGGCGCCAAGCCAAGACATTATTTCGAGCTCGACCCTTTTTCTCGTCTATGGGCTGGAAGTCATTCGATAATACCCGGTCAACCGCTCCTTTGTCATGATGTCTGGCAAAAGGCGAAACAGCCACGAGAAAGCAAGACCTCTCTGAAAAGCGAAACATATACAGTTTTATAATGGAATACCGCGGTGGTGCTGGTGCAGTATATCCCAAGTATGAGCCAGCCTCCATATTGACTTGTTGGTAAGTCAGACCGAAAGTGAGGAGTAATCCGAAACCTTGCCCCTTAACCTGTTATCGATCTACGTGCATTGGCTCCTCAACCCCCTCCCCTCCTCCCTCCCTCCCTCCCTCCCTCCCTAGGCCTGGCCAGTCCTGAACAGTCCCTCCCTCCCTCCCCCTCCCTCCCCCTCCCTCACAGTAGAGGGCCGCCTAACTGCCTTCTGAGAACGTCCCCCCACTCTCAGTCTCTCAGTCTCTCTACCCCCATTGCTCGTCCCCCCTCGGGCAGGCGGCGGCCGAGAGGGAGGGGAGGGGAGGGGAGGGGAGGGGAGCTCGGGCAGGCCAGAGCTGCATAGCCGAGGAACCAGCGTCGGGATGAGGTTGGGGATGAGGTTCGGGTTCGGTTCGGGGAGGGATGCCTTAGTGGAGGGGAGGAGGACTGACGATGCAATCAACCTGGTCTCCTCGTCGGCCTGCAATCCCTGTAGTAGTAGATGAGGACTCACCGCTAGACTGGCTGTCTTTACCTGTCTACGGTATGAGTCCTAAACTTGGACATTTTGATCTACCGCATTTATGCCCATCAACATCTCAACCATATCACTAGTCAGATAACGCATTGCCCCATATCTCCACCCACTGTTCCTAGCCTCTGGGCTGCCTTCAGGTAGTACACGACTCTCCTCTTGCCTCCTCTGCTCCCTCCCCTCCCTCCGTTCATAGCCAGCAGCTGGGAGGTCGGTTTGGTTTCTCGCGCCTCCCAGCTTTCGGGCCTCTCCCCCCCCCACCCCACCCCACCCCCTCTTCTCGTCTCCTCATCAACTCTCTCGCTTTCCTTGTTCAGCTCCAGCGCCTCGTGCGACTCCCTCCCTCACTCACTCCCTCACTCTCACTCACTCTCTCTCTCTCTTTCTCTCTCAGTCTATGTACTTCACTCGGCCTGCTGCTTCAGTGTCTGGGTGTCTCCATATAACACTCGGGCTGCTTCTGCTGCTGCTGCTGCAGCTGCATTGAGCTGGCCCGCCCGTCTCCGCGCGTGCTCGTCGTTGCTGTCGACGGGTCTTTCGAGTTTGGCTTGCATTGTGTAGCTTGAGCGAGACCTAGAGTGGACTTGGACTGAAAGGAACTGGACGGGGCGGGAGCGAGCGAGCGAGCCTCGATAGAGGCACAGAGAGAGGGAGAGCACAAGCGGTGCGAGCCTCGCTTTCGTGCTATATTGGTTGAGCTGCGTCGTCTTCTGTCTGCTGATCAGACAAATGCAGAAAACACATGAGCACGGGCTTCCGCGTTGAAGTGAGGGAAGGCATTTGTGGTTGATAGACTCGCCTCCTAATTGGACGGTTTGCCGAGGAGAAGAAGAGCAGCAGCAGCTCACTGAAGTGGACTGTTATTTTTTGATTCGGCCCCTCGTCCCGAGCTGCTCTCTCGAGCGCTACCTCACGTGTTTGCAAGATCATGGCTGGAATGACGCGAGCTGCCTTTGCGCGCTTGGCTTTGGGCTTTCTGCTCGTGCTCTGGAGTAGGGCCCCTGTGGCACGCGCCTGGGTAATGACGGACTGGGCCGACGCCCACGCAACTTTTTACGGAGGTCAAGATGCTTCCGGCACCATGGGTTAGTATTCTCCCCCCTTTTGCTGATCCGCTCTTGCCCTTCTTTTAATGTTTCCCCTTGCCTTCGGTCTCGATACACATTAGCGCATGCCGTTCGTTTCTCCCGTTTCGTCGTTCGTCGGCTCGCGGGCAGTGTAGCATTGTGGCCGCCTCGTCGTCGTCGTCGTCGTGCATCGGCATGGCATGGTATTGCGCCGAGGTCGAGGTCGGCGGGGGCTGTTCTTGATCGTGGGGCGTGTGCTGTGTGCTGCAGGCGGAGCCTGTGGATACGGCAACCTGTACTCGGTCGGATACGGGACCTCGTCCACGGCGCTGAGCAATGCCCTGTTCAACAACGGGCTCAGCTGCGGCGCGTGCTTCCAAATCGTGTGCAGATTGGCCGAGAGCAAGTACTGCTACCCGGGCGGCAGCGTCGTGGTGACGGCCACCAATGCCTGCCCGCCCGGATCCGAAGGAGGCTGGTGCGATCCCCCCAAGGCGCACTTCGATCTCTCGTACCCGGCCTTCCAGCGCCTCGCCCAACCCGTCGGCGGAGTGATTCCTGTCAGATACAAGAGGTACCTCCCTCCCCTCCCCCCACTTCATGCTCTCCCCATGCACGTCCTGTCCATCCACGGGCATTGCACCGCCCTTGTCTCTTTGCTCTATTTGCTCTGCCCCGCTCCTCACTGCACTGCACTGCGCTGCGCATGAGCTCCTGCCGCCGCGCAGTCTGCGGCTGGCCGGTTCCTGACCTCGAGGGCGTAATGTCGTTCGCCCACGCCTCCATTGCCTCTCGAGGCCGAGGCGATGGAGGAAGAGATAGAGATAGAATGCTTAGAGAGGGTGATTGAGAATGGCGAGTCTGACGGGAGAATGGGTGGGGATCGGAATGGCGCGCAGGGTGTCGTGCAGCAGGAACGGAGGCATCCGCTTCACCATCCGGGGCAATCCGTACTTCGATCTGGTGCTGGTGACGAACGTGGGCGAGTTCGGCGCGGTGCAGTCGCTGCAGATCAAGGGCGAGCGGACCGGCTGGACCTACATGCGCCAGAACTGGGGCGCCAACTGGCAAGCGAACGTGAACGTGCAGGGCCAAGCCCTGGCCTTCAAGGTGACGCTGGACAATGGCCGGAGCCTGGAATTCTACAACGTGGCTCCCAAGAACTGGGGCTTCGGGCAAACCTTCGAGGCCGACTACAACTTCTAGAGATCAGTCTTCAGGCGCCGGAGCAGCAGCAGCAGCAGCAGCAGAGTGGAGATGAGTCGAGATGAGATTGAGATGAGATGAAATGAAATGAGATAAGACGAGATGATAAGATAAGAGACGAGATGATAAGGTCCAGCAGATTAGGCTATTCAATACATAGCAGTATGGTGCGCCTTGCCAAGGGCAAAGTTTTTGGCAAGCTCTACTTTGAAACCTTGTTGAAAGATCTTGAATTTCGCCGCATAGCATTTATGAAATAGAAGCGGCGTGTACGTGTATATATACTCCATGCCCACTGTTCGTTAGCCGGGCCATGAAGGCATTCCTTGTTTAGGGGTATTTATGGAAGCCGAGGTGTCCGCTATAAGAGCCGCCCGCTCCTTCGACATGTTCGAATACGGTATTCTCATTCGCCGGTCTATTCTCCAATGTTGAATTTGCGGAAGAGGTGACAATTTGGGGGCCAAACGGCCATCCGCTGCAAGACGTAATTCTAGCTAGCTGTCTGAGGAAAATACTCGACATACAGCAGGTAGATGTCGTGGGTTCCGCGAGCCACGATCAACACTCACAGAGGTAGCCAGCAATCGAATCGTAATGCGTCCTTTGATGGGCCTAGGATGTGATATGTTGCTCAACTCTTGGTAACCTTGACATAGTTTTTTAACCTGGACGTCATCACTAACTAAGTGATGGCTTAACAATTCTGCATTCGTCCTCGTTTTCTCTCTCTCTCTCTCTCACCTTCTCCTCCTCGCTCGTTCACGTCTATCAATGTCCACTCTCCCATCCGCTGATCCGACAATCTCGACCGACTTTAATCTCAACTCTGCCCAAGGACGAAACACAAAATCACGTCCAGCGACGAATTATGCCCACCGTACTCGCTTGTATACGGCACTGGCCGTCCGATCGATGAACGGATGACAATCCTTCAGTTCCCTGCCTTCTCTCAAAGTAATGCAGAGCCGCGCGATTTGTCGTTGAACGATGGTCAGCGAAAGTCAGATACAGATCGACTTGAGTGCGTTGAAATAGCAGGCGTCAGTAGAGACAGGGAGTGGGGCCGATCCCTATCTCCTCGCGTACGTGCATGAAATATACTAATTGTGGACTTGTTTCCGACCCACATCCTCCTCATCCCGATCATCCATCCATCCGTCCATCAATCGATCCAGCGGTGATAATATGTGCGAGCACAGTCCAATTGTATAGAGAGATGGAAAGCTGTGAACGAAGTGGAAGAGTTTCCAGGCAAGACCGTCGGAGGTAGGGTTCACAGGGAGGATGAGGGGAACGTTGCTGCGTCGGGAGAGAGATGAGGGCAGGGCAGGGGTGGCAGTGGGCCGGGGGCACGAAGCTGCCACCTTTGGGGGCACTAATGTAGCGCACACTGCTCACTTCCCACGTGTTGCGGAGGAACGGGTGGGCGAGTTACGAAGCGGGAAAACCTACAACTTTAGACGTACCGATTCAGGCGAATCAGCCGATGCGGCCACTGTTGGGGGTCTGACACTCGAATGACAAGCTGATGATCTCGATACGCAGGCAGAAAGAAACAAATACGGTACGCTACGACGACGACCACGACCCGAGATGGTTGGATAGACCTACCTACGTCGATGTCGATCATGTACTGAAATCCTCATGCGCAATTAACGATGGCGTCCGAGCGAGGAGGCGCGAGCGAGAAAGTCTCGACGAGTGGACCAGGCACATGCCGTGTTTCCTCTTGAAGACCAGGAGGAGGAGGAGGAGGAGGAAGAGATCGGCAGGAGATTTCTTAGAGACCGCGGGCGGACCCATTCATTCCGATCTCCGTCTTCGGCAAACAGGTTGCATCATGCAGAACGAGAAGGGCTGGCTTATTTCCTTGCTCGAGGAACGAGGGCGTATTTCTTGCCCGGTACTTGGCAGGCAGGCAGGCAGGCAGGCAGGCAGGCCCTAAAAATGTAGTGTCAGTGATTTAAATTCGCCCGTCGATTTGGCCACACGGATGCAAATCAAGCCGGGTAATCGGACTGTTGCGAGCTCAAGAACAGAGCAGGTCGGTCTTCGTGACTTTCGACCCTGGCCCTCCTCAGGCCCAGGCTCCAAGAGAGAGAGAGAGAGAGAGAGAGAGGTGTGAAGGACTACTGCTGTGCTAATCAGCGGCGGCAATAATCTGCAGATCTGCGATTTCCCTCGCGGTACAGTCCCCTAAAAGAAATCAAAGAAAGCCAGAGCCTCCCCCAACTTGCTCTCGGCGGCCGCGTCCGTCTTTTCATACATACTTCATGGGAGCAATGTCCTTCGTAAGAAACAAGATGAGCTCATGCTGCGGGTCATCGAGTAGAAAGGCTGTTACTCTGAGCCGATTATCGATAAACATATTTTGATTCGATGGGTGGGAATGTCGTGAGCAATCAATCTCTCTCATGGTGCTGGTCTCCGGAGAGCCAGCGACCCAGCCGGCAGGCAGGCAGGCAGGCCGGCCGCTCAGTGCCCGGGCCGACTATGCAGCCCGGCCGGCCTGCATAGTCGAACGGATGGGATGGAGGACCCGAGTGAGATATGCTCGGCAGCATCAGGTCGCAGGTGCGGAAGGTCGGCGATGGGACTTGAAGTGCTTAGAAATGACGATCAGGGACACTTATTAGGCGCAGGTTGCCATAATGAGGTCGTACAGAAAGTCATACCATGTCAGCAGGCAGCTTCGGAGCTCTTTCGACACATCGCACAATCTTGGGCTCAAAGTCGCTGCTAAGCCTCTTTGCTCTAACGAAAGATGGGTGACAGCGATCGCAGTATAAAGAAAGCGAGCTGCTACGCACTTTGTCCCTCAGCAGCGTGATGTCATCCAGGGAGATCAAGCTGGAAATGACGCAGGAGCTCGCACTGACAGTCTTCAACTCCGGCGAAATCATCAATGGAAGCTGTCGTGTGGACTTGTCACAAACGCTCGATGATACTGTGTGCTCGTCGGGCAAATGGCCAGCTAGAGCCTTTTCTGTCTGTATATAAATTTTGGCAGACATATGAGTGCAAATGCGAATGAGTGCGAGCACTACAGGATTGTGCATAAGCTCGCCTGCATTACCTGAAGTCAGCGGACAGTTCGCGATCAGGAATCTGGATTTGCTGGTGTAGATGCAGCGTAATTGCTCCTCCTCTCTTTCTCATCAAAGTTGTTACCCTTGTCTGTCCTTATCCGCTCACTCCAAAAGCCATTTGTTTATGACTTTCCCCTTTGTCGGGACACTCACTCTTTGACGGATACGGTCGTCAGCTTAGGTAACTTTGCTCTCTTAAACATATTCTCGCTGCTGCTGTCCAGTGCATCGAAGACACTCCGATCCAGCAAGCAGCGAGCAGCAATCAATGAATCAAACCTCCGTATGGCTTCTCGAGCTTTTGCGTTCCAGACACTCACTCAGCAGCAAAAGCAGTTGCTCCCATTTGCCAAAAGTTCCTGAACTCTTTGGAAGATCAGGATCTGGCCATGTTATACACACAGCCCTTTTGAACAAATCCAATCTTATGAGTGGCCGAATAACAATTCATGATCATTTCAGGGGACGAAGCTTCCGGATCTATGAACCCAGATATTGAACTTTGCTTGGTGATAGTTTTCTGACCCAGTCTCGGTCAATCTTGTCTGTTATTAAATACCTCGAGGCTCTAATGTTGGAGGGCAATATGACTGCTGTAGTTTATAGTTTTTCCTACTATGACTTTCAAAAGCATGCACCGCGTCTCCAATACTGAAAACAGGTTGAATAAATCTTCTCCTAACCCATGTGGCTGCCAGATCATGAACGACCGAGCCCAATTGTGAAAAATAAGAAACAGGTGGCTCTGGCTCTGGCACAGGTGCTATATGTGGAGCTTGCGTGTCTACATTTTGTACCCAGTAGATGTACAGTGGGACTTTGGTGAGTACTCGGTTGGAGGTTCAAGCCAAAGAGAGCAAAATCTTCGGACTGGTGCTGGTAGGTGCGCTAAAATGTTCTTCTTCTTTCCCATGAACACCACAGCACACCACGGTTGGTCTTCTTAATGTTCTCTCTATTATACATTCACCGGTTTGTCAAGGAAGACAAAGAAAAGCTAACAATGCGCAAGTGGGTGAACTAACGATCCATCTCGACTGTTCACAGAGCTTGCATTGCACACAAATCTTACAAATGTCGATCGCACTTGCCGTGAGGTTGCATCTTCTATTTTCCGAAACAAACCAGGGTTCGGTGTCCTGCAATTCTGTTTGGAACTGCGGCTATTCTCAATTTTATTCTACACATTATGGATTAAGTGTTTGAACTAGAATCTTCCATTTTGAGAAACAAATACTTCTGTTCTAGTTTCAACCCATCGGTGGATCCGCTCTCATGAATAGATAAAAAGATTCTCATTCATGATAGACATTGTTATCGAAGTCTGACCATAGACTGCTTGAAACTAGGAGACAAACATCTCAGCTCAGAGGAGAGAGATCTGGATAAAGGAAGCTAGATAATTGACGTCTCTGCATACAATGGTTGTGGCGTCTTTACTTTCTGGCGCTGCTACTGACTGAACATGCTTAGAATATTGTCTTGCATGTTGCCTGTCTGTCTTCAGCAATCACACACTGTTGTTGCTGGAGGCTCCTCTTCACACGAAACTGAGACCATTGTCCTTGCTTCTCGATGTGAAACCAACGGTAGTCGTGTGAGGTCATGTAACACGTACGCATGTTCAATCGTGTGCTGTATACTTATTTTCTACTCTTGCGTATTTACTATACGAGACAAATACATTTAAAATCTTTTGTGTGCAGTGTAATCATTATCCGCTAATCGTACAGCTCAACATTATCTGCTGGATACTCCTACTTGACCTTACATGCCTTCAGTAGATAACGATTATTCGGATCCACCGTTTGCTTATGTCGATCAGGTACGCTGTTTTTCTCTTCATATTCAACTCATTTCCCAGATGTATTGCAGCCTATCGATACATATCCATAGCCTTGTCTTAGCTCACACTAAGACTCATTGGAATGACTTTTTCTACTGAACCACATTACTGTACGTTTGGGCACTTTCTTGTAGCATCATCTTCATCTCAAGCCGAATCAACGAGTGACGTGCATGCGAGGTTTCTGTCGGTGTCAGTTCTTCTATCCCACTTCAAGTTGGATGCTGTATTGAGAGAGGATATGCATCAGATATCATTACTGCTTCTCATAACTTACTATATATCAAAAGCTCATGTTGGCATAGATGAAGTGTAAAGTTTTTTGGGTTTTGCATTTATTTCGAGCAAGAAATCAATGATTTTGAGATTTGTATTTTAAAGACATTCAAATTAAGTTTGATCGATCTAGGTCCAAATACATCAAACATCAGCCGAGGTGATTGTCGTCATTCTTAGATGATACAATCTACCTTCTCTGGCAAAAGAAGAATTTTATTCGTAAGTCTACTTTTACTTATCTAAGTCAGCACACCCATTACTTTCCATGTTACATGTATTTTTCGAATATCCTACACTTACTAGACTAATGGATACAGACGAAGAACTCAGATGAATTTTGTTAGTGTAGTGGAGCTTGAGAAAATGCAAAGATGTGTGTTGTGTGTGTGTGTGTGTTGAAAAGTTGAACTATTGTACATAATTATTGTGTTTTTTTGATAACTCATCTATGGCAATTGCTTCAGATAGAATATCATCAAAAATGATCACGTTTGTACCTTTGAAAGTGAGTCACATGCATTATCATTTTCAAATTGATAACTCAAAAAATTTAAAGGGATAAGTTCTAGATTAAAAAGATCATTTTTATATGTTTAATTATTTTGTAAATTCAGGCTCATATAAGTAGATAAAGTCTTAAAATATTGAAGCCATTAGTTGAAGCTATGCTTGTGATACATCTGCATAGGTCAAATGTAGTTGTAGAAAAATTCTTTTGACTCGACAAAGATCTGATTATTTAATCAGCATCTTACTTTAAATTAGTAAATTGAAATCCAAGATATTTTTATGCATAGGATTGTAAAATTTTGTAAGAAAATAAATAACCTTTTTTGGAGTATCCATCCAAATAAATTATTTTAGAAGTTTTATTTATCATTAAAACTTAAGAATAATAGGTATATCGAATAAATATTAGCGGTATATTATCTTTTCTTCCAACCAATTTTTATATCCAAGTTTCTATATTTGATGAACTTAATCTTTTTTTTTTTACATTTGAAATTAATAAATATAAATCTTGTAAAAATTTAGTTAAAGATATATCTTTTGGCAAGATGAATAATTTTTTTAAAGAAAATTTGTACCAATAATTTCTCATTTCGATGATTATGAAAGTTCATTCATAAAATTAAAATTGAAAAATAAGTGAAATATTACTTAAAAAGAACGATCATGTTGAAATAATTAAATTTTCTAGATTGTATTAATAAATATAACGTTAAGATATTTAATTAACACATCATAACTATTCAATAGAGTTAGAATTTGCACTCCCAACACTTTCTCCTAATTCCTCTAATGTTTCCACAATAATCTCCATAAGTTTATATTTTTTGTTTTATTTTTTTTATTTTTCTATTATGATGTCATGGTCTGATTTGACAAGTTCTACAGTAGTACAAAGAGTGAAATTCATTATTCATATTAAATATGTTCTTTTATCCTTGAAGATGATTGTCACCTAAAATTAGTTCATAAGCGTAAAACAAAAATGGTTGCTGCAAGATTTTTTTTAGGTTAAAAATATAAACTCTATTGCATGAAAGTATTTAATGTGTGATAATGAATTAAAAATTAAAATTTTTAGTTTCTTATGTCTCCATTGATTTTTTTCAAAAATATAGTGACATGAGATGAATTGATCATCAAATATTTTTATTAAATATAGATCATTGATGTTATATGAACTATTTTTTATAAATAAAAAATATTTTTTCATGTTATTATGAAATTGAATTACTTTGGACATACAATCTTTTGTTGAATGTGAATTTGAAAAGGAAAATACAAATACAGATCACTACTTCGAAGAGTTAATCATGTAATTTACGTTTTATGATTAAGAAGAAATATTGCAAATTTTTTATCTTTACTTATTGTTTGAAATATTAATTGCAATGGTATACATCTTAATTTACTATATTAATAAATTTTACTCAAAAATTATTTATAGTGAATGATGTATTGTCATACAAACGCGATCCGTGTATTTGATACACTAAGATTGTGATAACTGAAAGAGATATGTCATATAATGAAGAAGATGTTTCATGTTGAAGATAAAAAATGTTCGTTTGTTTAGTAGTTCAGAGCAATATGTCATCAATCAGTATGCTTCTTGAAATTATTTGCCATGTCATTAAAAATTTTCAAAAAGTGGAAAGAAATGTGATTTACAATTTTTTTTTATATATGTGCATGTTGAAAAGATATATGTATATAAGGCGAAACATCATTTTTGAGATATTTTATCTTCAAGGTTTGATAATGATAGTGCCACTTATAAGATATCTTGCTAGCCAGATATGCAAGAATGAAGATATGAAGGGTTTTATTCTATCATCTCCAAATCATATGAAAGTACGGAGGTTGAATTTGACATTTTTGTGAAAGACTTGCGTGAAGACTAGGCACCAAGATTTCACCTAAATTAATTAATGCTTTAGTCTAGTGTTAGCAATGTGTTAAGACGTAATGTTCTAAATAGAACACTAGGCGGTATAATACGAAGAAAAGATATCACTTTAGTTGATACTTATATGGATACTGGAGTTGGATGTAGATTGTTTAACAAGTATGATGTTAAAGGAGGTGTGATTTTTCGTTACACAAGAAAATTTTGTTATTCGTTTGGTCTCATCTTTGGTATGGATACAAAAGGATGTTTTCCATCATTTCTTATTTACTTGGCCGACATCTAAATACCTCATATATTGAGGAGATTGATTAAAAAACCCGGAGATAACATTCTTCATCTTGTAGTTGTAAATATAAGAAGATTTTCCAAATTGCAATGGCTAGTTAATCTCCGAGATTTAAAATGATATTTGCTCCATCTACTTTCTATTTCTATATATATGTATATATATTCATATTCTTTTATTCTCTATGTTTTGATTCAAGACCATTCTCTTGTCATACGCTCCAAATTTATCTTCATCGATACTTTTGTACAATTTTGTATGAAATGTGTAACACGGGAGCACACTATGGAGCATAAAGGTCATTGAGATGACCACATATACTAATTCGTCAAAGTGTGTTGGATAAAGTGAGATCGTTTTCCGACATCATAACTAGTAACAAGTCACACAATCTGTGTTATGCATTCATATACATAGATAAATATAATTAAACGAGGATTAAAAAATTTGAAGATATTTTATCATTCATTATGTACAAAAATGCTTCATTCAAATCTCACGCGAATAACAATTGGATGCTAACGTCAATCAGAAATAAGATAAAATTGATATAATTCAAATGCCATATCAGTAGATTGTACTTACATAGTTGTGTAAATAGTACGGATTTTGCAAAATATGAAAACAATATATGGATCTCTAAAGAACACAAGTAAAGCACACCTTGTGTTATAAACACGTTCAGAATCAATCCTCGACACAAATGCTGAGAGCCTAAAACCTATGACTTTATAAAATTGCTAGGCAACTTACGAACAAACTGATGCATGTATGCCAATTTCAAGATTTATAGAACAATTATTGCTGATACGCTGTCATATTTACCTTTCATATATATATATATATATATATATATATATATATATATATTGTATCCAGAAGGCTATGAATTCCATTCTTTTTGAAGCCAGAAATGTATCAAGATGTTCAGCCATTTCAGATCTTACCTCTTTGTTGTTTTCTTCTTTCTTTCATCAGGCGTATGGTTGTTTCAACCTTTAGACCATTGAAAATAAACTAAAAAATTAAAAAAAAAACTCTTCCCTCAATTATCACCATGACCCACATGCAATCCAAACATTAGTTATGTTATCTTGCTAAAAATTTAGCAAGATAACAAACTTATAACTCAAGATTGTTTCAATTGAATTTTCCAAGCCAATATAAGTAATCGATCAAACTTGATAAGCTACACATCAGTTAGAAGTCAAGATCATTCAATTAATATTTTTTCCAGAAAATGGAATGAGTTTCTGAAAGCTGATAATTGGATGTATCAGTTCCAAGCCGAAAAAAGCTATTTTTTCAAGAAATCTGTGCAAATAAATATTACACATAGGCTCTATGAGTTTCCGACTATGTTACTAAAGAACAAGCTGAGTGGCTGGAGAACGTCTAGAAATTATCACAAGAAAATCAATCGGCATCACTTCTGGTCGATTGCAATGCAAAACATAAATCGAAATGACCACCTGCAATTTCTTCTAAGAGCCGGGAGCTCCGGAGTCTTGGATACATCAAATATACCTTGGCTTTCAAAATTTAAGTCATCGCTTTAACAAAAATAGCTTGTAAACATGTTTGAAAGGATGAAAGAAAAAGCAAACTATCTCACACAGCTTTTTCATGTCACATTAGTAGTATAGGTCATTATTTTTGTTTCTGCTATGGACTTGCACAGAAACTGAATATCCTACAGCGGAGTTGTGTAGACATCTCCTATATTATAGCACTACCTACCAATTATAGGAGTGGCTTCAGTCCAATGCTATACATGTGCCTCTACCCTCAACTTGCACTCAACTCAGTCGCTAAATTTGGTGATGTTTTTTTTAGGCTTCAGATATGGTGCTCGAACGGGATGGTTTACTATGAAGAGTAAATTAGTGCTGCACATGTGGTCGATCATAGAATTTGACAAGAATGTAACGTATTTAAAAGGCTGAGTCTCCTCTAATGGAAATATTATGTATCATTCGTTCGGAGACCGTCCATGGCCTAGTCTGGTCATATTCTATGGATGGATGGATGGATGACTCTTGGGAGTACGTACCACCATCCTCGTTCTCGTTGAGGGAGGTTTTCTGTAATCCTGGAGCATCTGTCTTGTGTGAGAACTGCCTCAAAAGGTGTGTCAAGGCTGGAAATCTGAATCCCTCTAAAGCTCACTTGATCAGTTGCCCATTGATCAAGTGAGGCACCTTCATCGACATGCAGCTGGGAAAAAATTAGAATATCTACTTTACTACCAGGGAATGGTTTAAGAAGCCTCAACGGTGCTTCGAGATCGACGAGTTCCCGACCTGTAGATCGTCCCTCGCAAAACATATGAAGAGTTGACGATCGCCGACAAATGATTCAATCGCCAATAAGGAAGCATAAACCAGCCAGGGTTGTTTCAGCTGCAGACAGACCAAGGGCTTGCATCCTCTGCGCTCTACACTGAAATAGAAATCCTGTGATCTTTTATTAGAACAAGGTTGGGAGTCCTGGCATCGTTTCTCAGTGCGACGTCATGAGAACTTAGGAAGCCTTGTTCTTCCTTCACGTGAACCATAATAAGTGCGATTTTTCCGTTCCTTAGCTTTCCGCGATTCGGATCATCCACCTCCTCCACCTCCTCCTTGTTGTGCTAAATCACAAATGGTCCTTTTTATTATACTGCTTCATAACTATGTATGGCTTTCAGAATGTGAAGTTCAATCGTTGGTCAAATATGAATCCTTGACGATTTCTGCGTATCACACGATTCTCGATCAAAATGCAGTTTTGAAAGATACTCTTCCTGTTATTTGGATCACGATCATCTCAGTGGCGATATCCGATGACAGACAGAGTATTCGGAATATTGAGAGAATTCAGACAGACACCTTCAAGGACGACTGGACGAACTTGCTTCAACCGCACACATCGCATTCCTTCAACTGTAGTTTACGTGCTTGGATGGACTCTTACGAAGAGTCAAACAACATTCGTGCTGTTGTGATTCCAGTTCTTTCGCCATACTTTCCGAGTAGGAACTGTTCTTTGAATCAGCCTCATAAGATTGGATTCCATCACGGTCGTAGTTTTCATAGTTCATGAGGTTTGAGATTTCAGAAAGTTTCTAGGACATGTACCATGTCCCCAATCAACAAGGGTGAGGGTCAATTTTCGGGGTGCAAGAGCTTCTGGATCGAGTAGATGAGAACAACCACCCTCTCAGATTCTTAGCTGAGGTTTGCCTTCTACTTTTATCAAGCTGTTAATCGAAGAACATTCATCTCTTGGAAACAGTAATGTATTAAAGGCAAACTATGCCAGCAAGCTCACATACTGACTATCAACCTCTGAGCGTTCTTACTCACGTTAGTATGCGTTCAGCGTACACTGCCTCCTTACATTGCAATACACATAAATTTTCCATGAACTACGTTTATGCCTGATATCCAGTGAACCTTTGACTTTCAGTTCTTATCAATACGAAATCATGCACACTACGTTCTTTCACCAGAATGCTTCCGACTCTGGTGATATCAGAAGACTTTTGAGCATTATATGTGGAGTTGCTATTGGAGATGGCAAATTAAGCGATATGACAAGCTCCGGAAAATCTTTGACGATAGCTTTTAAGCTTGTCAATATGAACAGAATTGACTTTTTCGTATCATACACACTTTTTGAAGATCCTTAAGACATTGCTAACGAATCTCACTTCAGTGATCAGAAGAAGTTGAATGTGATCCAAAATGACATAGCTAATCGATGTATGTAGACTATGTATTAATTCCAGGGCTCTGTTTTCAGGTCATTTGCAAAAGCAAATGCTGGATTATTCTTCGACCATCGCTTTCACTTCAGATGTTTGTAATCTGTCCCAGCTAGGTTGGGTGAAGGATCTTAGTCTTCATCAAGACCAAATCAAATTATCATGTTGGTGTTCAAACTCCCGCATATCAGAATTCAAGCATTTGGTCGGAGGTCAGATGAAGTTCCAGCTCCATGATGTTCCGAAGTTTTTTCTAAATCCAACTATGGAGCCCTCGGCTCCAGCGAATGCTGGCACCGAATCAATCACTGTAATCCTGGAGATCCTTTAAGATACCCAATGCAATAAAAGCCCGACTCGATCAAGACACAAGAATCAAGGAAATTGGTATGAGATTTAGCAACAACGAGCTACTAGTAAGACCGTCCTATGAGAGAGCCGTAGTCTCGACTGCGGGGAAAAAGTATGATTGCAGTAATTCTCCTGTGGTTCGTGACTTCGATCGCATGAATGTGTTGTGCTAGCCACTGAAAGGAAGCTGCAACTCTGAGCTACAACACAGAGTTAATCAGGACGAGGTCTTGGAATAGCAAGTAAAGTGATTTGAGCACTTTACCGCTTTGAATCGGAATCACTTACCAACCTTAAGCTGAGGCATTCACGTATTAAAAAACAGGTTTGTAAAGCTTTGCATACATTTTCTCCTCGAGCGGATAATGGAACTCAAAACAAATAGTTTGCGACAAGGCAAATTGTTTTATTCAACTTTCATGGGTCAAGTACCTAACAAATGGTAAGATCCACATGTGGTTCTTCAAAATGAGCACTCTTATTGGTTACAATGTTCTGACGAATCAAAACTTATGCGTATGCACTTCCAGTCTACAGGAGACCCATCATAGCCACGGGTGGCTGGAAGCTTTCACCTCGATCAGCTAGGGTCAATCATGGAAGTCGACTATGTATCTCGTCTGTAAGGAATACAGATCACTTCTCTAAACCGAGCAGCTTGCATCTGATAATGTTTTTTTGTACACACCTCTTTCGTGCCCTGGAAACTAAGGCACCGAGGCTGTCTACGTGGACCTACAAAGCATTGAGTCTGAATAGACGCGTGTTGCAGGAATGCGGGTGGCTAATGCTTTAGCTTGCACCTCAGCAGAACCTTATACAATGTGCTCAGATCAACTCAGCTGCGGGCCTAGGACGACGACGATCCAGCATCTAGTACTAGTCCACTGTCAGTCGCGGTTCGTCGAGAGCTCGACAGTTTCATAGCATGGATCCATCCTATATGCCATGGGCCTCTGCAGCTGCAGAGCAGTTGGTAAGCAGTGGCTTCTGATGCTAAGATATTGAGAGGAAGTAGGGTGAAGTTAATTCTGGCGAATTTGTGTCCGCTCAGTCAAACTGGTTTCATTTGATGTACAGGTCCTATCGGCACGGACATGGCAACTCAGACGACGATTGAGGTGAAGGAATGATGGTACTAGTGACGGGCCAGTGCGAGACAGATTCTGGCCAGGTACTACTACTACTACTGCTGTATACCAACATTGTGAAGCGAGGGAGCGATCGAGCATGCAAGCTCAGAAATTCGTGGCCGCCTCGTAGGTTTGGCCGAAGTACCAGTTGGTTGGAGTTAAGTTGTTGATCACGCGAACGTGACCGCTGCTCAGAGTGACTTGGAATGAGAGTCTCTGATTCGAAAACTTGATGGGACATTCCCAGTACTGACCCCAGTTGCGCTTCATACTGTACCATACAGTCTGCGAACCTCTCATCTTCATGCTAGTCACGGCTCCAGCTCCCGCTACGTTATAAACCAGTACGAGATTGAACCACGGGTTGCCGCTCAGGTAGAATTTGAGTCCTCCTGACTTCTCGCATGGCACTCTGCCAAACCAAACAGCAAGCAGTCAGTCAGTCAGTCAGTCAGTCAGTCAGTCAGTCAGTCTCAACTGCCCACGAGCCGGTAGCGAGTGCTGGAAACAAATTGCAAATCGCACTGGGATGTGGATGCCTCTACTGCCAAAAGGATATGATACTCGGTGACTGGATTGTTGTCGTACCTGCGATATTCGATCGGGATGATGCCAGCAACTGGTTGTGCCATCCGGTTGAACATGACGAGAGGCAGGTCGAAATGTGTACGTGGGGGATTGCACCAGCCTCCGTTGTTGGTCGGACGAGCCCAGTTTGCAGGGCAGTGGTTGGTTGCTGTAACAGTGATGGGAGCCACGTTTTTGTAGCACCACCTGGTGCTGTAACCGCCATGATCGAGGTCGCATTTCAGCTGGAAGCAAGCGCCACAGGTGAGTCCATTGTTGAGCAGGGTGTCACTCAGAGCAGCTGTCTCGAGCCCGTATCCGCGCCACCACAGATTACCGTACCCACATGCACCACCTGCATTTCATTCATTTAGAACCCGGATCAGAACGATCTTCAGAGAGTGATTTTCCCAATGAGAAGTGCAGTAGAACTAAGAGCTTTGAACTTTGAGGTCCCATTGAATTCACGCACCCATTGTTTCGACACCGTTGTACTCTCCATAGAAGGTTGCATGCGAGGGAGTCCATGCTGTGACTTCCCAAGCCGGCGGCGATGCAGTGGCGGGAGTCAATCGAAGCAAGAGTGCAGTGGTCAAGCTGAGTGCCTGGACCAATGTTAATCTTGGCATCGTTGCCATGGCTCTACAGCGCACACAGAACACATAACATTAGTACTCACTTGTGGGCAGTCTGGTTTCTATTCTCATCCTCATTCAGACTTGTCTTTCAAGCGGAACTGGTGGAACGCGTTTGAGGAACTCGAGGTCATGAAGCGCATGGTGAGATGTCTCTTCCACTTCCACATACAATTTACAAGATTCACTGACACTTAGAAGCATGTCAAAAGATTGGATCAGGGAGGAGATGTCAGACTAAGCAACGATGATTGTTCACGAAAGTAAGTGGCTTACAAATATTAACAGAAGAACTAGTTCCCGGATGAACCTTGAATGTTCGCCGGCCCTGTGAAGTCGAGGGAAGCTCGCTGGATGATTACACCTCCCCGGCTCCTCGTTCTTATACCTCTCCGCGCACTAGCGCTATGCTCTTGCATGATTCGCGATTCCTGATAGTTCACAGTTTCAGGGAAATTTCGAGTTGACTGTAGATTCCGTCCAAAAGCTACATACGAGGTCTGGAATGTAAAGCGCTCGGCCTGGGGATGCACGAGATCGCAGCTTCTTTCGTGCCGTATCCAGCGTCGAGATCTAGAGGTCCAACAGCGAGCGCTTCTCCCTCCGCAGCCGTCTCACGATCCACCGACTGACCACAGTGCCTGCTTGTTCTCTGATAGTACTATCACGTCCTATCTTGATTCAGTCACATGCTTGGGGACTTGGAAGTCTTCCGTGACTGCTTCATCGTCCGCGAACCTTGGGACCCTGTAGATACTACAAGTGCTCTGGACTGCCAATATTATTTATCTGGTGTCAATATTATTTCCTTCATGTGCTTTTCACTTAGCTATTGCTCCTGCCCGTTCTAGATCGATAGCAAGAGTTGCTGCCACTTTCTAATTGTGTCAAGGGCACTAGTATAAGCGATAAGGAAAGGAGACATGCATCTTCATTCCCAGCACATTTATTGTTTTTCTTGAAACACCATTCTGAAAATATTGTTGACTTTCGTTCACTTGAGGTGTATTGCCTTTCCTTGGAACACTTCATGCCACCGTTCCATTCGACCTTGAATTATGTATTGTTTGATAGGAGCCGCAGACCCAGCCCAGCCCAACCCAACCCAACCCAACTTCCAACTGCAACTGCTCCTCGGTCGAGTCCAACAGAATTCTCCAAAATCATGGCTCTGTGGTCTTCTCCCTTCGTCTCATTCATCTTCTGGTGCTCAGCTCTAATTGGTTTCACGATCTTCGAAGATCATTCGATCAGCAGGAGCAGCCTCTGGACTACATTCATATCGGAACTTGAGCAGGAGATCAGCGTCGCTACAGTTTGAGCAGACGCCAAGTGCAGAGTTCATATCCTGTTATGGCGAGAGGACGAGGAGTGAAGTGCATTCAGTGTGTGATGCACCCTCCTCCCTGAGATTGAGATTGAGAAGAATTCACCGAGGCAACGGAAAAGCTTCTGTTTCAAAAATGCCACGACATGGTCAAATTACTGTGCATTTACGTGGGCTTCGATCGACTTTTGCCGACACTTCAGCATTGGAGACAGATGGTGAAAACCTTCAGCTTAAGCTACGAGGATTCGAGACTGATTCAAACATTAGCCTTGCTAAAGTCAATACTGCTGTGATAAATTTAACCTTCCCCGGTCTGCTAATGATTGATCGACTGCTCATAATGTTTCACCTTTTACTTTTGCTCCAAGAGTAATCTTCTGCCTTCCTTCCTTCCTTTCCATCTCTTCTCTCAGGCTCCTGTGCATCTCGTGATAAGAAAGCAACCCCCCAAAATCTTGGTTCAGAATCGTAGGACTAGTAAGAACAGCAGTCAGCAGGATTCGCGAAGGCGCTTATCCAAGCCACACAAAAAAGAATCTTCACTGATCAAAGAATTCTCAAAAGGTGGCCTATTACGGCCAGGTTCCTACGGATAAAACGCTCGACACACGATATATATATAACAAAAACTGCAGATCGAGCACTTTGAAGTTCGGCGCCTGGAGCCAAATTCCGGGATTCCTCATTTAAAAATATCTGCAAAAGCACATTAGAGAATAGAAGCCTTATGGGCGTGAGAGGAGCCTGATTCGGTGCTCACGGAAGAAACCGAAAACGTTCATTCTCAGATCACTGGATTTGGATTTAGAGGGTTTAGAAGCTGCATATCTGAAGAAAGAAGCCTTGGTCCACGCAAACGAGCGTTTGCGAGACGGAGCCAGATATAGAGATCATGGTACGAAACTGGGAGTTGCGAGGACATGTCATTGTACAGTGGAGGACGACCCGATGGTGCCTCCCTTGATCGCAGCCTTGAAGGATTGCACGAAGGCCGCTCGCGGAACGCTGAACGTGCGCATCTGAGCCTGCAGTCCTGATCTTCGGGAGCGCACGAGAAGGAACCGACTTTTGTAACATTATGCAACCGCAAACTGCTGGGCTCGAATTACTGTGCGAACCTGGCTTCGGCTCAAACTTTGGGCATTACATAACGTGGACCTGAAGCCGAGGTTGCTTCTGCCCCGGTCGGTCCCTGTCTTGCGCCAGCACGAGTTCTCAGGTGTGCGAACCTGCGGAACCAGTGCCTGCACTTGCTCTATGCCTTCCGCTACTGCCATCCATCCGGATCCGAGCTGAGCTGAGCGTCGGCCATTGGTCCCATCTTGTGAGCAGTTGGTTTCACTGGACATGTTCATTGGCTCGCCTCTCTGATACGGTACTCGTACTACTACAGCATTTTCTATGTTTCCCTATTTCAGCCTAGCAACATTGCCAGATTGACTTCATTCCCACTCCATCCTTAGAAGAAGAGATCATCGCCCCAAGTCTGATCGTGATGTGGTAGCTCTCGGAGCGTTCGTTCATCTCCAGAACGGAATTGTAGCTGACTAACTGGCCACATCTGAATTGGATATTTCCATATATATATCTATTCATAATAATTTATGAATATAGAAATCGAGAGAGAGAGAAGTTTGATATTTGACTGCTTGAGCACAACATTTAGACTGATGACAGAATCCGAATTTGCTGATGGTTAACAGACGATTTGGACACGTTCGATCTAGTTTCGGCGTCAGCGTGATGTCATAGCATGGACCGATCGGCCCAGGCACATCTCCAGAGTCAGTGCCAAACTACAGAAGTTGTATGGCGTGACTTGTGCGAAGATCGGCTTCAGGCCAGTACTTTAATGTCCAGCAGCTGGTGCCGAAAGGCCGGCGCACAAAATATGCCGATCATCAGATCAACAGAAGCTCTCTCCAGATGCTGCTGCCTGATTTCTGCCGCTTTCTCGTCTGTCTTCCGGTCGCCCAAATTCTGTAACTCACAATAAACACATTTTGCTGCTGCATCTAGCTCTGCCTTTGATTTGAGTCACGAGATAGTCCATCGAGGATTGAGGGCATGCATACACGACTCGGCCGACTGACTTGAGGAGAATGTCCAGCCTTCTCCTCTCGAGAAAGTTGCAGAGCAATCTGAATCTCGCGCTGTGTTAAGCTGATGAGAATGACCATGACTCTCTAAGGTCACAGAGTGCGATCAATGTGACGTGGGCAGTCATGACACTCTGAGCTTTGGTTGTGGCTCAGACACAAATCTACTCCTGTGCTGATCTCGCTACCTTGGTGTAGGATTATCGACCCAGTTGCAGCCACGTCACAAATTAAGGTGACCCACAATTCAGACATGTGTTCTAACCTTGAGCTATATTACATCACGTAGCTCCGCTGAACACAGCAGTAGGGACTTTGGGCCGGTTGTTTGCCGACCACAATTCTCTGCGTTTGGCCCACAAACTTGCTTCCACGACAACCCGTCAGTACAGCCGAATGAATGATCGCATGGAATATTGCATAGAAGCAAGCGTCACATACATTCTCGAGTGAGTCAGATTGACTTATTGGGTCATGACGTAAGAAATTGTGCTGTCTGTGTTGTATATTTGCTCAGTTTTCACGGTCTCATGCTGTCGAATGAATACATGGCTGCCCCTTGTTGGAGATGACGAGACTTAGAATGCGAGTTAGGGGGAGAAATCGATCAGTGTTGTCAACCTTATACGTCTAAAGGATGGCAGATGTCATCCTTAAACCTCTTACTGTGAACTTTGAGAACAGGCAGCCGCAGCATATTGGTGTCTTGCATCTTTCAAGTACTTTAACAAGGCATAACTGGCCATGGATGTGACTACTGCTTGACTACAATCACGAAGACGGGCAGAAACAGCCGTTCGAGCTTGAAATCTCTATTACCATCTACAAATAGCCTTCCTACAAATGTATAATCCGAGTCATGGCTCGGTGTTGGACCGACTCTCCATCAGCTTATGTGCATGATGACAGCTTGAAGGAAGAGGAGAGAGAGAGAGAGAGAGATCTGAATTCACAAGGTTTTTGATCTTTAGAAGGACCTTCATATTGCTCGGTACGTAGAAGAAACACGATCCAGATACATCTATGCATCGATTTCGATCGTGAATGTTCGCAATGGTTTCCAGATCTTCCGATTCTAGACTCCAGCGACTGACTTCCTTCCTTCCCCAGCTAGAGCGGGCGATCGAGAGGCACATCCTCTTGAGTCTGCAGTTGTCAGACTTCCGTTGTGTTGCGTGAGCATCATGCGTATGTCAGTCAGTCATTTAGGCCTGGCTCCCACCGAACCTGCGACGATCCCCCTGGTCAAGAACAATAGTCACCATCATGGTCACGACGAGCCTAAACAATCGGAAATTTCGCTCCAGGAGCTGAGCGCATTTTCTGTTTATCACTTGCGTCTGGCCGGTTCTCTATTCTATCTCTGCTCCTTGTGTCATGAGTATCTCAGCAAAGTATAAAGGCATTTCCTCGACTTTCCAGCCCCAGCTACAGTTATGGATCCAGTTTTTCCGATACTAGTGTAAATTCATTGAAATAGGTTCCTGCTGAATTTCGGTCGCCTTTCAATGTGAAGTACTTACCCTCCTGAAATCCACTGCTAGCTACGATCATGCTTGATCTGGCCATTGGAC